CACCCCCAGAACTCAGCAATGTCCTTGGCAGAGTTCTCAGCACCAGGACCCCGGAGCCCCGAGGGGCCTGTGCAGTGTGAGCCTGGGTCTGTGCCAGGTGCACCTGCAGGATGTCTCAGCCAGGCCTGGGCTGATCCCAGGCCTCAGGAACAGACGTGTCTCCCTTGTTGTTGTCTCACCTTTCTGCTCAGCTGTCCCACTGGGGTGGGGTCGGGGCTTCCTTGGCTCTGACTGTTCTAGTCATTAGCCTGAGTCTGAAGCCTCCAGGATGAAACGTGATTTGTGTTCCAGCTACATGTAGATCCCTGTCTCTGCCTGGGCGCCACATGGCTCTCCCTATAGGGTTCTCCCCCATGCCCAGCCCTCGCATGGTCTCCGCTGCAGCCCCCCTTTCCCGTATGGGTGGTCACCCCAGGAGGCCCTGCTGGGTCCTTTCTCCTGCCACTGCTTCCCCTCCAGCCAGGCTGCACAGACCCTCACCTGCACCTCCTTCCTTCCCATCACAGGGACTCAAAGGCCATTTCCTCTGCCCTGGGCATGGAGCCTTCCTTTCTGTAGAGGCTAATTCCTACCTGTGCTTAGGATCTCAGCCAAATCAGGCCCTCCTGAGGGAAGTTTCCCCTCACCTCCCAGCTGAGGTCAGTTCCCCTCTCATAAGCTCTTGTGATATCATGTTGTTAGTAGAATACAACAGGGGTCGAATTATCCAGATTCTTATCTGATTATTTTTCTGACTGTCTAGACTTAAACTCCATGAGAGCCAAGGCTCAGCCTGTTGTTACCAAGAGCAGTGCCTGGCACATAGGAAGCACCCAATTCATAGAGTGGATGAGTGAATGACAGAACGAATGATGAATGGAGGGATTAGCCAACAACAGGAACACCCTAAATGCACTTTCCCCTGACAGAGATGTAGCATTAGCTACGGGAAATAGCATTCCTTTGACTGCTGGACTCACCTAGGTTTTTGAAATTAACTGGGACTTGCTGTCACGGGTGTCCAGACCTGGTTTAAGGCTTCTCTCTGTGGCTGCAGTTCCAGACTCACCCCAGGCATCTGTTCTCTCCTGCAGCCTCTTTTCCCACAATAATTCTAGACAGATCTGGGAATCACTTCCAGAAATTCATCCTTAAAGTTTACTTTTTTGGTACCACTTCTAGTCTTAAAACCTCTTTTAGGTTTGTATCAATAAAACAGAGCCACTACAAGTTTGTGAGTGGGAGGGATTTATCTTAGGACAGGCCGGAGTGGCCGGGACATGAGAGGATCACAGCACATGAGTCCACCCAGTGGGACCTATACCAGGGAGCATAGACGTCCACAGAAACCCACATCTGGGGAAAGCTGTTGCTTCTGTGTGGGGACCACCTCTGGGGGTCCCCTGCCAAGTACCCTGGGGTATCCTGGTTGCTGTTGGCCAACCTCTGGGATGGCAAACTAGACGCAGAGTGCAGAAGCCAGAGGACGCCTTTGGTCTGTTGGCCATATTTGTATCTGTGGACCATTGTATCACACTCTCTGACCACAATGACCTTCCAAGTATAATGGTGACTGCTTCACTTATATCTTCCAAATTTCACACAAATGCCTCCTTGACCAACTCTAACCCAGAACTCTAAAGGAACGACATTCTGGGAAATGAAGTTTCTTGCCTTCACTAAGTTGACTTAACCTAGCTGGGGGTGGATTTTCCTAGACTGAGTTACTTGGTCACACACCTGTTAACCTGCTATGGTCTCCAGGTTCCTCTTCTGAGGATCTGTGTCCTTCCCAGGTGAATATAGGCAGAACTAGGATGTCTCTGCTCTAGATTTTCCAAGCCCTGACTACTAAATTTTATTCAAGACTGTGGCCGCCATCTTCCTCCTACCCAGCAGCAGGGCTCTGCCTCCTGTTTCTATCTCTTTCTTCATGAGCATCTGTCTTGTTGGACTTGCTTGAACGTCAGGACCCCTGGTTAGAGTGAGGAGACCAGGGCAGGCAGTAGGAGGTCATCTCATCTCTAGCTACCTTCCTAGACCCAGTTCTGTTATAGACAATTCAGTTGCTCTGGTCTCCCTTTGGGTTCCTCAGTCTGAGAAATGTGCCTCACGGATTTACAGCTGATCAATGCAGTGATCTGATGACAACCCCAGCGTGAAATCCTCAGAGCTGAGGGATTAGCCCTGCATTTCTGTGATGATGCCAAGAATACAGTGCTGTAGAGACAGCTTCTCCCCATGTGTAGACCTGGCCCCAAGCAGGAAAGACCAGAGAAAGCTAAAGACACCAAATTTGTCTGAGAAGATTGAAAGACATTTTCCCAGGGCGATCCTTATTCTGACCACATTCAGTTCTTAGTAAGACATCCTGACCACTCTTCCCCCTACTCAGTTGAGTCCAAGAATATCACATGTCCCAGCGTCTTCTAACAATGTGATAAATCACTCAGATACCAGCCTCCCTCCTGCACCACACTGACCAACTTCCAGGAACTTGTTCTTGCCAGCATAATGCTCTGTCTTCTCCTGGCCAGGTCTAGCCAGGAAGGTTTAATTCATGATTAATGTGACTTCTTAGTCTACTCAAAGGGGAACACCTGATTTCAAAGTAAAAAATATTCCTTTTACTTTAAGTTGGAACTAAATAGTAAACTGAGTACTTTTGTTCCATAATAGCATTAAATTGGCCAATGGTGGAAAGTCTTTGATGCTAGGACTTTGGGTTCCAGGATTTTTCATATTTTAGTTCCCAGTTACCCGGTCCAGGGTGTAGAATGGATGAGAGTTAATGAGTCTCTCCATGCCTGAGATGATCTGCTACGGGTTTATGAAAGAGCACTTATTTATTGAATGAGCCTAGAAGATTTCATTTGTACACACCATTTTGTCTGTTGGTATGTAAATTTCCAATTTGAATTATGGCATGTTCTTTAACCTAAATGAGCATCAAGTCTGCAATTATAATTCTCATATCTAGGCTATTTCTTGAAGTTTTGTGTTGGAAATAAAAGGAAAGAAGCAGAGATGTTTATAGATTTAGGAATTTTTAGGTTTTATACACACAAACACACACAAAATTTCCCATTGAAAGAAGGAGAAGAAAATCTCATATCTACATGGTCTCATGGACCATGTAGAAAGTGTATGATTAAAGAGAATTAGAAAATCGGAATTCTGTTCTGGAAACTTTCTTGGGGTTATCGTGAAAGCATTTGCTGATCTTAGAAACCTAAACTGTTGTGTATATGGCAGCCCAGAGTCCAGCAGAAAATTCTTAGCCCCATGACTTTGGGAGTTAGACTTGAGATGCTTATAAAAGGCGTAGATTCTCGATGTTCTATGCTGTCAATCCAGGCCTCTCCAGAGTTCCACAGATTAATATCAGACAAACATATTCCCATATTCAGAATATTAAAACAAAAGCCAAAGAGCAAAAGTGAACAGAGACGAGAAGCATGTGAAACAGACATCCCAAATATGAGAAATTTTGACATGATAAGATATGAAAGTTTGAAAATTACATTTAAATGAATATGAGAAGGAATTGAAATCTGAACAAGGAAATAGAGACTGTCAAAACCATCAGGTGACTTTTATAAAATCATCAAATAGGATATCTAGATATGATTAATATAATCATGGGAAACAAAGTGAAAAAGTAAATAGCAGATTAGGTGGCCCTGGGAGATTCTAGTGATGGCAGAGATGGATGTGAAGAAATTACCTGGGAGGCAGCACAGAAAACTAAATGTGAAATATGAAAGGGAAGTTAAGGACCGGGAAGAAAAATGTAGAGGTTTCTAGTTTATTAGAATGTGGATAATGTTTTTCCAAAATTTCCCATTTTTTCTTACATATAATTGATGTTTCAAAAGTGGAAAATAAGGAGAATGATAAGAATTTATATTTATGAGATGTGAGGTGAGAATTTTTCAGAGGTGTTTAAGGACCTAAATCCTCATTTTCAAGAATTCAAATGAATCCCAAGGAAGACAAATAGTCATGTCAGAATGAAGCAGTAGAACACAAATTACAAAAAAAAAAAAAAAAAAAAAAAAATTGAAGTATTCAGAAAAGAAAGATAAGTATCTGCCAGAGGAATACACTGACAGCAACAGTAAAAATCAAGAAAGTGGCCAAAAATAACCATTAACTCCGAATTATAGTCCTCATTCATTTAAAATGACATTGATGACAAAAATGCTGTTAGGAGGGGAAAAGAAAACAAACCCTGTGAGTTTGCCAGCAAGGTATCTTTTCCAAATTATGCTTAACAGCCATGAGAAATGATGTCAGAAGGAGGCGTGAGATGCACGATGTGAGAGAACCCATTTAATAGGACAGTCACATGGAGCACGTGTGATTGGGAGAAGGGAGGGGGCTGGGCAGAAATAGGGAAGCCCCGGGAAACCCTGACTTGCAGAGAGACAATGAGCTCACCCTTTGGGGTCTTGCATTGGAGACACTGTTGACATTTCTTAGTGAACATGCCCAGCAGCCAGGGGAGCGATGGCTGGATGAGAAGATAAACTCAGAGATGTATGTGAGACCTCTGTAGCCGGACAGCACTGGAGCCAAAAGTGATGGCCCATGCCCTGATTTTGTTAAAAAGGAGCTTATAAATATTTAAAGCAACCATCCAAATATGTGCTAATATAAATCCTGTGTTTCTGAGGTCATGGGGATTGAGAGAGGAAGTGACATCACTGTGGGAACTGCCCTGTGAGGACAAGGACGTCCCTCCTCTGCTCCTGCTCACAGTGACCCTGACCTGGTGACACTGTCATCCTACCCTGACCCTGTCATGGGCTCCAGGCTCCTCTGCTGGGTGGCCCTCTTTCTCCTGGGGACAGGTGAGTCCTCAGAACACCAGGCAGTTTCATCGTGTACCTGTGTGTGTGTGTGTGTGTGTGTGTGTGATCTGACTACAGTTGCTTTCCTCATTCTGTTCCCACCTTCTGTCTCCACAGATCACACGGGTGCTGGAGTCTCCCAGTCCCCCAGACACAAGGTCACAGAGAGAGGACAGAATGTATCTCTCAGATGTGATCCAATTTCTGGTCATGTAAGCCTTTTCTGGTACCGACAGACTCCAGGGCAGGGCCTGCAGCTTCTGATTTACTTCCAAGGTGCAGATGCAACAGACAAATCAGGGCTGCCTAGTGATCGGATCTCTGCAGAGAGGCCTGAGGGATCGTTCTCCACGCTGAAGATCCAGCCCGCGGAGCAGGGGGACTCGGCCGTGTATCTCTGTGCCAGCAGCTTAGCCACAGCGTGGCACAGTCACCTCCTTCCTGCTCACAAACCTCCTCCTTCTCGCTCCTCGCAGCTCCCAGAGACCCTAAACAGAGGCCTCTCTTGCTTGTCACTCACCACGGGAAAGAAGGAGATTTGGACCTCGACTGTCCTTTGGGTGGAAAGAGACCACAGAGTCTCTCCTGAAACACCGTGCCTGTAAATTTGCAAGGTGCAAACAATCATAGTACATTGGGTTCTAGAAATCCTCAGAGACAGCTTCACAATCCAAGGCAGAAAACTTCTAGTGTGACAGAAATAGAAGAGGCTTCAGAAGAAAGAGAGTATCTGTCTTAGCTGGGCCGTCAGGGCTGGGAGAGGCGGTCACCCGTAGGACTCAGAGGTCGCTTCTCTCAAACACAATCTTCAGTCACTGGCAGGGGATGCTCCTCCTCTGCTGCATATGTTGATGGCATCTGATATCTGGAAGGTCTGAGGCCGCTTCCTCAGGAACAATCTTTCTCCTGAAGCCCCACCTATTCCTGTTGCACTGGAAGTTTTCTGAAACATAATATCAAACCTGTTGTTCTCTTTTGTGGACTCTCTCTGCTCTTGTTCCTAGAAGCCATGATCTAAGGGAGCCTCAACTGATCCTTATCCTACCTGGTGCCCAAATTCCCTGGCTGTGTGGGTCTGTGTCTCCACTGAGTATGCCATTCCTGAGAAGTGACAACTATTTTGAACCTGACTAAAGTTCACATCAAGCTCATTCTTTATTAGCAAATTATCTTTCTTTGCATTGAATGTGCAGATGCTGGAGTCACCAGTTAAAGAGTGGGAGAAGCAGTACTTCTGGCTGTCAGCCAATTTGTAGTCATAAAATTTTTCTGGGGCAAGGACTAATTGTCTTTGGAAAGTAGGCATCCCCAGATCAGTTAGTAATCACCTTCGATCTATTTGTGACTGATGTGTCAAAAGCATCTCATTCACCTTAAATGTCCTCTCCAAAATGCAATACTGGCCCTTTCTATCTCAGACCTGGAGGTTGTCCTGACCAGGAGAGCACCACCTGCTCTGGGGACAGGAACTCCCAGCTCGTCCTCACCAGCTCCCTGCAGGGTGTAGCAGGACTTTGCTCCAGGTGCAGGGCATGGGTGTGGCTCTTTCTGTCTCTAAGGTAAAGGGAGGCCATAGAATGATGTTTGTGTTAGAGATAGTGGGTTTCTGACCTTCCTCTCAAATATTTCACAAAATTTTCTTTTCTTTCTGTTTTATTTTACACTCTCACCAATTAGGAGAACAATTTCTTTATGGTTGTATTGTTTATGGCACTTGGAAAGATTTTCTTGGTTAAATTACATAAAGATATAATTTCAATTATGCATCTCTTCTGTTCAGATATAAACTGAGGCAGTGACATAAATAACAATCATTTTTAGAGCAGTTACATTACACACTTACACTGTTTAAGGTTCATTGTCCACACCTAACTTTAGTTCTAGTAGAACTGAAAGGCATGGGGTTAACGGGCATGTGATCAAGCGCTCAGAGAGGCCTATGCCAATTATTGCGGGAATCCAAAGGAGGGAGACGTTAGTTCTCCTTCAGAGGGTGCTCAACCAGGAAGGGGCAGGGAGTCCGTGGGAACCTGAGGAGGAAAAAAGACAAGGAGCAAGTCTAACTCAGGGTGGAGTGCGCGTTGCAGGAGTAAATCCTCAGAAATGGAAATGGTTGATCTGGGCTGTCACCGAAGACGGTGGAAAGGAAAGTCGTATAACCCAGCCCATAGTGCCCGGGCAGATCCTACTTCCTGAAGATACTATTAATACGTTGCACCAGTGTGTCCTTATCTCCCACCAGCCCTCTGCTCTTCCAGAATCACCTCCTCCCTCCCTGCTGCTCAGATCAGCAGGTGGGTGTTGTACTTGTTATTCATTATTCATTTCCTGTAAATCACCCTCTGCCGACCCTGAGTCCATGATCTCAATTTTCCCATTAGATACTGCTCCCTCCTTGAGTGCTCATTGCCTTATAAGACATCGTATAACTTATATATCAATTTTACTTTCATTAATACCCATTCCTCCTCTTGAAAGTAATCTCATTATTGGCCCTGTGTTTTGCTAATCTATATTTCAGAATCACATTGATTGTTATTTTGGAGGGCATTTTGTTCATCTTTAATGATAATGGAGACAAAATAATCTCTTTAAACTTCAACCTCTGTGATTCATTGTTATTTTAGACTAAATATTATTTTCTTCTAATTCTAATTCTAATTCTCTCCCTTTAGAAGATAATTTTAAGGTAGAAAGTCTTAGTTTGACTTTACCTTCCAGGTATGTGACAGGAATTCATTATAATGAGGGTGGGGTATTAAGCATGGTAACTCAAAGAAATACTCAGGGTTGGAACTAGTGTTGAGATTGATTAGGAAGTTGATCAGAAAACTTTCAGGATAGTATTTCTGGAATGTTCTCTGAGCTGACTAAGCAGATACTTGCCAGCATTTCTCTGGCCACTGCTTAAGAAGCAATGATGAAACTCCACTGATCGGCCACAAGATGGCACTGTGGTCCCCTGGGGTCTAGAGGGCTCTGGAGAGAGTCTGGGACAACACCCTAGGAGGGAAAGGGTTAAAAAAAAATGGGTTTGAATCTAATATTATGCAGAAGTTGAAGTTTTCAGTTATTGCTGGGCTTCCTGCAGCCATGCAAGTGGTGGGAGGTCCCTCTCAAGTTTAAGGAGAGCCACAGTTGAAGTATGTGTCAGGACAGCCTTGCTGTCAGGGGCAGGTGCAGACAGAGGAGCAGCTGCCTCAGGGGAAAGTGGGAACCAAAGCCCAGCACATCGCTGCTGCCCCCTCCTCCCTGAGGCTGCGCTAAGCCATGGCCTCCATGGGAGGAGGGGGCATCCTGCCTGAGCTCACTCAGAAGGGACCTGGACCAGGGAGAGTGTGGAGGGGCAGGAGGTGACATTACAGCCCCCCTCCCTGAGAGCAGCCTGAGAGCCCCACTCACAGTCCCGAGGATCCCAGTGTTTAGCTGGGAGAGCCCCGTCCTCACCTGACCCTGCCATGAGCCC